AGTTAGTTGTTGTTTTACAAGTCATGTGCAGCTCACCGGCTGTAAACAAACCTGTTTCTGGCGTAAGGAGGAGGCGGGAGGAGGCGTTTCTACGTAGGGAGCTGTAGGGGGGGGGGGGGGTTTCATGCGCAACATTTGAAAAAGGACAAACAGTCGCTGGATTTCTCGTTCCTTGGAAAATCCTCTATACAACCTTTAAGTACTAAAAGTAAGAACTTTTTCCACCACTGAGTATCAATATGAAGAAGGTTTAGAGGTGATATTTTCTGTCTGTTTCTCCTCAGATCAGTGAAAAATCAAACAGGCTGAGCAACACCACCATTCACTGGAAAAAATCTTCTGATGGAATCGTCTTCAGAAAAAAACAGCCTTAACTGCCCTGTTCTTTTCAACTGCAGTTTGGAAAGTGCTGTGTCTGGAAATCCAGCGCCAACCAGCAAATCCATTCTTTTACATTCTATACTTTTACATTACATTTTTGAACTGTACTTTCCTAGAACTAGAATAGGACTAGAATAGGTTACAAAGAGAACCTGCTCACTGTTTTACTGATGTGGATGTACCCTGCATGTCCCTGTCAATCACAAACACCAGTGACCAGACCCACCCACATTCCTGTACTAAGTTGCATCAATTAGAAAAATAGACTGTGAAGGCTAACGCGCACTGCATGCCATGTGTCACGGCTCATTTCTGCAGATTACTTACAAAAAGAGCAACAGAGGAGAGGAAAGGCGGTGCATTGAGCAGGTTATAGTAAGTTTAGTGAGAAGAGAGTTTCCTGTACACAGAAGCCGAAGAGAAGCTTTCCCTTGACCTGGCTTTTGGGTTATTTGGGTGCTTCTCCTTTGGCTTCCGCACAAACCCCAACGCTGCTACATGATTGGTCGCCCACCACTAGTTTTTTACCCCACTCTCTTAGTTACTCTACCTTCAGAGCGTTATCGTAACTTAATCAGCGCACATGTGGATTAAACAATCAGGGACATGCCAGGTCCTCCGTATCAGTTCAACAGTGAGCAGATTCTCTTTGTAAACTACTGGAGATGTGTGAATAGATGTGTGTTTTTGCATATTTATGAAGAATTGCAGTGTGGGAGCCTGGGCGTTACATGCTGCTATTCCGACATGCTATGTAGACACTGAGTAGCGGCATAAACATTATTTTTCAAGCGTTCCACTACTTGGACTTTTTTTTTTTTTTTATTGTCAGAGTAGCTGCACTATTTTCAAACATTCAATTTTTGAGACATGAATACAATTAATGTGATAGCTTGTTATGTTACGCTCCCATAACTCATAAGATGCTTGGGCCACTGATTGGGCACTTGATCAGAGAATACTTCGGCCACATAGGATATCAGACAGTGGGAAAATGTCCTATCTGCTGTTCTTCTGGTCAAAGAACAGCAAGAGACGTGCCTGGGTAAACTATCACAACTCTCACAAAGTGTTGCAGAGGTTGGGATTTGCAAGTTGTGATTTGGACTCGAGTCAGACTTGAGTCACAATTTTTAGGACTTGAGACTTGACTTGATAAAATAGACCAAGACTTAGGACTCGACGTAGACTTGAAGCACAGTGACTTGGGGCTTAACTTAGACTTGAGCCCTGTGACTTGAGAAGACTTTCTATTCTGATCATAATGATACACACTAAGATCTTGACAAAACATTTAAAAAGGAAAAATGACCATTTCTACAACTCTTAAATAAATACTCGTATATAAACATACCATGACCTTTTAAAGTACAGTGTAGTTTGTATAAATTGCAAAAAATAAAAAATGAATTAAAAAAATCTAAGCTATTTTTGTTTTTTTGGTTTAAAGATTTGAAATGACTTGAAGCTCAAAGCAGATGACTTGGACTTAGACTTAAGGGCCAGTGACTCAACTTGGACTTGGGACTTGAGGTCAAAGATTTGAGACTTGCAAAACAACAACTTGGTCCCACCTCTGACGTGTTGGAAAAGTGATACTAAAAAGTGTTGGAAAACCGGCATGTCGAAATAAAGACGTTGTAAAAACCCCTCCAGATTTTTTATATGTTGTAGTTGACATATAGGGCTAAATTTTTTCTATTGGTATCATTGAGGTTGGGCGTGTCCCTTATTGCCAATTTCAAGGTCAAAACATAGGTAATTCATCTCAAAAGTACTCAAATGCAAACATAAATGCCAGATTTGGATTCCTTACGATTTCCCCTTTCCAGAGATACCTTGGTTTTTCATAGTTGCTGTACCAGAACCAGTAGTTGCTGAGTTCAATTTCAAATTTGGCAACCACGCAAAAAAGCTAAAAAAAAAAAGGAATGTCACGGAAACCACTGGTCAGATCAAACTAAAATTTGAAATTTTGACTTTTCTGGCTATGATTTACCTATATACCCAGTTTCATCCAAATTTGACAAAGTAGGGTTTAACTCATTGGATGAACTGAGGTGGACTGACCCATAGAGATATGTCATAATGAAGGGATGTAGGAATAGGTGGCCGACCACGAGCATGGGTGTGTATTGATGAAAACTACAAAAAGTACATTTATACCCTGTCTTTAAAGATGTGGTAAAGTATTGTAGTAAATAAAAAAGCTGAATAAAATTCACTGTGAATTACTCTGTGCTGTGCTCTACAAATAAATTCACCATATCGCAGAATGACTTTTAGAAACATGACTCTGAGGTTTTGTTGAACGCCAGATAATGAACACAGAAAGAAGAATACAAGACACTATGAGGCTGTAATGAGCGTTTCATTTTTATTTTATTTTTCATCTTTATATGAACACGTAACAATTAATAGCACGCGAAAGTTAAGCCTTTAGTATAGACGCATAAGCAGTTACCTTTACCAAGCAGATAATAAACAAAGTAGTAATAAAAAGATTGATCTCGTAGTTACAAACTCACCCCAATACAAAATTAACTCACATGAACTCAATGCATCCCCATGAACTAGGGCTGGGCGATATGATGATGAAAACCGAATCGTGAACTTATCCCTGTGACTATGTGACTATTTTAGAGAAATCATATCACAAGTCATTGCTTCTATGTTGTTTTTTTGTGTTCTATGTTATCGCCCAACAGATCCACCCACTTCGAAGTCCGCACTGGTTCTGGAAGTTTATTTTCTCTTCATTTTCCCATAGACTTTTAGGAACATTCAAATACTAAGAGTTTAAAGGCATTGCAGAGTCTAACTAGCTACTGTATGTGCTGACTAATATCCATAACGCGGTTGCATGGCGTCACTTTTCTAGTGGAGGGTCCGTCAGATGCTTTTCCCCGTGGAGATGTTATTGCTTTGTTTGGAATGTTTCACAGTATGGCATTAATCTATCTTCATGGACACAGTCAAAATGTCTGTTTTTCTGTGTACTTTTAAGCAATAAAACCACAAGTAATTGAATAAATGCAAGGTACTTAATGTCATACTGTGGAGCATTCCAGGCAGAGCAATGACATCTCCATAGAAATAAGCAAGCGACAGACCTTCCACCAGAAAAGTTACACAATGCACCTTTAAGTCCATAAACCACATTTCAAACTCTGAATCCAGCCAAATGTTTTGTTTTGTAGTACTTTATTGTCTCTGTAGGGTCCTCTGCATTTCACCTATAGTTTTTTTTTTTGGTTGATGGGGGAAACCGGCTGGCACAACCTAGTGCCTCCGCTCAATTTCATTTCTCTCCAGCAACTAGGTTAGGAATAGGTATAGGTGAGTTTCATTGACAAAAGCGCGTGTTGCATGCTGGGAATTATTTTGGTCGGTGGCAATAAACACTAATTCAACATGACAGACGGAGCGAGAAAGCACGTAAAGGGTACTGATCCTGGTTATTTATCCACTCTAACGGCAGAGGACCCAAGACGATTTGACCAGAAATTGGTCATAAGCATCGATGGAGCCAAATCACCCTTTTCAACCCCGACAAAAGGTGGACCAAACCAAATTTCTGGTCAGAATCGCCAACTACCTGGACAAATATTCACTTCGGCGATATCCACAATGACTTGGTGGAAACGCCTGGGCCATTCACAGCAGAAAAGATGAAAACCTCCAAGAGTCTCGATGTGTTGTTGAACTTGTTGGAGTCCACGGTTTGTTAGGATCTTCTACGTTTGCTCTGCGAATGTTTGAAAGCCGTTTAATTTGCCGTTAGAGGTTCTTTTCACTCGGAATACGAAAAAGACATTTTCCTTCTTCCATGCTTCTATTTGTGCATCTGATAATGCAGCAGGAATTTACCATTATCGGGGATAAATACGTGAGGTTACGCACTGTGTTTGACCGCTATCGTGTTTCTTGCCTCCGACCAAAATATATCCCGGCATGCAACGCGGGCTTTTAATAACAATGACATCAGCTGAAACTCGCCTATACACTAGACAGTTCACAAAAACCCCAGAAGTGCGAGTTCGGGCACCAGCCAATCAGCGAAGAGCCATACATTCTGTGTTGGCAAAGATTCCCGAAATCAAGGATTTTAAGCCAGAACAAAAAGAATGTTTGGTAAATTTTATCAAGGGGAAAGACGTTATTGCCCTTCTTCCTACGGCATTTGGGAAAAGCTTAATATACCAGTTAGCCCCGTTAGTGGCGCATTACGTACGCCACGACCAAATAGCAGTGATTGGTTAATTAAAAAAAAGAACCCGCCTACCATCGAGTGAACGAATTCTAATGCTGCGAAGTCAGACGGTTTCTACGAAGTGAAATGATGAATCTTAGAAACCGGAGTGCCTGAAGGAACCCCACCCAGACACGTGGAGAACCCAGAATCTTCTTGCTGTGAAGCCTGAGCACTAGTCACTCTGCTTTAACTTTGTGGTTTATAAAGTTTCAGAAACAGATTTTAAGTAAGATTATAGGTCTTGACGTCATTACAGTCGTTATCACAGCCCTGAGCAAGCTTTCACACTTTTTATATTCATTTTTTCATAAAGTCTATGGGAAAAATGAATGGAAAATTGACTTCAGAATTCAGCTTCACTCATTTAGCAGGTTTCAAAATGCACAGGCAGATATTGGCTGCAGCCCACGGTGATCCGACTTGACTGGATTGTCCCGGTATAAATACAGTGAGGGGGGACGGCGTTGCGGTTTTGCAGACGGCACTTCACCGTACGGAAGTTTGTGTTGCTCCGGAAATTGTTGTGACCCTGTTGGGTTCCCTGTCCGTTGCAGATGTTAATGACATCGTTCAAAGGCGTTATGTCGGTGGTGTATCCCAGGATGACGTTGTTACAGGGTTTACAGTAGGTCAAATGCATCTGGACGTTGTTCATCACCTGGGTGCAGTCAAAAGGCCTGTTTCGGTCGTTGTATGTGTGCATTTTCTTGAAATTCTTGAAGGCAGGAGGGTCTACGCCGTGAGCCGGAGCTAGCAGCAGTGAAGCCAGCACCAGGCAGAAGAGCGGAGCATTCATGGTTCTCTGCAAAAAATGAGAAATAAATAAATTCTTAAAGGTGCATTATGTACCTTTTTGGTTGGGGGTCAGTCACCTGCTTGTATGTATGGATATGTCCATAGATCTGCCTGGAATGTTTTTATAGTTCAAAAATACCTACAAAAACATGCATACTGACTGTGAGCGGGGTTATTTCTCCAGGTCTAATCCAGGACTTTCACTGCCAAGTTTTGAGTTATTTTTAGTTTATTATTAGTTTACTACATTCCATATGTGTCTGTTCATAGTTTGTGTCAGTTTTTGATGCCTTCACTGAGAATCTACAATGTAAATAAAGAAGAAATATACATTGTAGAAGTATGTCCAAACTTTTGACTGGTGGTGTTTATAGCAAATAATTGTTAGGGCCATACCATATCAAACCCACAATTTCATTAACATGACATTAAATATGCATAGATAAAACTCTGTAGTCAAAATTTAGACTTTTGGTCTTACTGTAATTTTGTTTTTTGCTACGAGTGTCAAATGTATAATATTGTGGAGAATAATGAGTGGAATAAACAGCCCTTCTCTGTATTTTGGCAAACCAAACATTTAAATGCGCAAATCTGAAGGTAATTCTTCTATATACGATTTTCTGATCAAACACTTCCTCAAACTCTGTTCACTTCTGCTCCTCTCCACGAGTGATGCTTTTTCCCCGTGTCTCCAGACTTTGCGTAGAGCTTACAGGAGTTGGCGTAGAGTTAAGCAAAGAGCCACGCCTTAGTCGAGTTTTATAAATACCACGGTTGGCGTAGGAAGCACGCACGCATGGATTTTTGCGTAAGCAAGTTTTATAAATGAGGCCCCAGATCTGTGGATTGTCAGAGTGCTTGAATAAATGTAAGGGAGAGCTGCTTGGTGTCATGCTGTGGAACAATTCAGGAAGAGCAGTGACATATCCGTGAAGAGGGGCAGGTGACAGACCCCCAGCCAAGATGCTACATAGTTCGCCTTTAAAGTTTAAAAAATAAGGTATGAATTAAAAAAATTATAATTTTTAAGTCTTGGAATGTCTCCCCATAAAAGTAAGTCCAAACATCTGACTAGTGTATAGAAATTATTGTTATGGCTTTACCAGCAAACCCACATAAATGCATGTTCCACAGATTTTAATATTGTGTAATATTGTGTAACTTTTTATGGTGGAGTGTCGGTCAAATTTATTCATGTAGATCAGGGGTTTCAAAGTCAAATTCACAGAGGGACAAAATTAAAAACTGGGACTAAGTCATGGGCCAAACTAAATATTTATTGTAAGATTTCAACAACATTTGCATGTTTTCTCTTCTTTTGAGATATGTAATGTTAAACCTTTTCTTATTCAAATAAATGTTTAATGATAGTTTTGCTTAACAAACATTGAACAACACACAAGCAAAATATAAAATAATAACATTTTAAATAAATAATGCCTCTATAATCTGTAGCCGGCGGGCAGTTCTAATACATATTTGATCATTTATGATCTCACGGGCCAAATTTGGCCCCCGGGGCTGAGTCTGACGGATGTTATTCCTATGTCTGGAATACTTCTCAGTGTGGTCTTAAACATTTTTATTTTCATGGAGAGTTACAGGTCAGATCTGTGGAGAGGCGACCCCACTCACAGTCAAAGTGCCCTGTTTTTCTATGTCTTTTTGCTCTAAAACCACCTGTAATTGAATAAATGTAAAGTAGAGCTGTTTAATGTCATACTGTGAAACATTCCAGGCAGTGCAATGACATCTCCATAGAAACAAGCAGGTGATGGACCCCCAACCGAACAGTTACTTAGTGCACCAAAAAGTTAAATGTGCATATAAAACCATAAGTCCAAATTTTTTGTCTTACTGTAATTTTGTTTTTGAGGAAGTTTAAAAATATATCCATTTTAAATCCATTTTAAATGAACTTTCCTAAACAATATAATTATTGTCAAAATACCTCATGCACAAGATTTTCCTCACATCTTGTGGTGTACAATAGAGTCAGGACTTACCGAGTGGTTTTCTCCTGCAGAAGTCTGAGGTTCTGTCTGAGCTCTCCACTTTTATCTGCTCAAGCCCCCCCCTCTCTGGAACCACTAGCACACATCCCAAAATTCCACAGTTACCCACCCTAAGCTAAAACCAGTTCAAACTGAACATTATTACACAAGTGCCCTTTCAGACAAACTTTATTGAGCAATAATTGAGTTATAAACGGAGAACACATAACAATCTTAAAGTGACAGCCTGTTTTTTCAGAAAACACAACAAACTGAACCATTGCCAAACTGTACAACATGCGTTTATGTTTTCATCCATTGTGATTGATGTTATTTCAGTCAAACATTTAGGTCAATTTCTGAACATGGCCGTGTGATTTTGAACATGACTTGTTTTCTATTGCCTCATTTCCATTGGTTTGCTTTGGAGTATATATTTGCTGGAACAGAAATTAAAATATCACAGTGAGAAGGCCATGGGTTCAGTTTCCAACCCATGTTTACCTGCCAAGCCAGAACTACAAGCTGTGAAAAAAATTTACAAAAACAAGTGGATCTGGAGCTATGTGCCTCCCTGATTTCAGAGGGAGTGATTGACAGTTGGATTAACCAATCAGAGAACTGCATGCTGACTTCATATTAACCCACTCTACAAGATCCAAGCCCCTTCAGTTGATTCTATTAAGTCTCATTAAGAAACACACTTTTACTCACCGGCTTTTAACAGAGTGAGAAAGTGAGAACTGTGTGGTCCTCTCACTGTTTTTTTTTTTTTTGTTTCTTTTTTTGTTTCTTTTTTTTGCTATTTTTCTATTTGCTAATTTTAGTATTTTTTTTATGTTTTTTATTGACTCGATTATTATTTATTTGATGCTTTATTTAATTTAATATGTTAATTTATGTTGTGCCTACTCTGTGCAGCACTTTGGGCCCGATCTTGCCCCCAGTCTTAGCTTTAGTGCTGGCGCTAAGGACTGGGCGTGTCCAAGTGGGGCTGTACTTCACTGCTGGAGGCTGGAGTGAGACGGTACATGTACATGTATATGGTGACGACATCTGAACCAATCTGTGACCGCTGTGACATTTCAAAGCACTGCCATTGTGTGGGTAAAGTCTGCAATATTTGTCTCATTATCAGGCACCAAAGTGGAGTGTGGGAAAAAGTTACATGTGAGTACAATAAAACAGCTCTGGAGCCCCAGGATGCAAGTACACACCAGCAGAGGCACCAGGAATATAGAATTTTGTATGGGCCATGACAGAACCGACTGGGTCTCATGCACGTGCACCGCTGTAAGCCCGTGCATGCGGGCGCACACATAAACCTTTTATAGTTTTTGCTGCATTTGTTTAAGACCAGTGTCTCTCATGCGCTCCCATCCCACAGCAGACCCACTGCTTTCTCACACCTGCTCCTGTCTGTCCCGCAGTCCACTCCCATGGACTCACCTGAGGTGCAAGTGTCCACTACTGCTGCTGCTGATCGCTCACATTTTCGTCTCTCAGTTCCACTGCATTTGGTCCCACACATGTGGATGTCTCGTGGATTATGGAATACGTTTATTGTCATATAAATGTTTCTAATGTTACCGCTTTGCACACAGATATGATCCATGCGTCTGCTCCGCTGTCACAGGCCCGAGCTGTCAGTGAATGCGGCACAAGAATGTGAGGAAATCGACATTGCAGCATTAGAACAGCGGACAGAGTAAGAAAACACACTTTAGGACGTCGCTGTAAACGGCCTCATGTGAATGAGCAGCTTTTGTACAGATCCAGATCAAACCAAACTATAGAGCAGAGCTGAGCTGATACAGGGAGCAGGCGAGGGGCTGTGCTCTGCTGCGGGAGGGCATCCAGATGACTCCCCGCACAGCACACGAATATGTTATGAATGTTAAGCATTTATCATCCTAATATATTTACAAATAAAAGAAGCCTTGAGCATGTTACAGGTTGTTTTTCAGTGGTCTCATTTAATATTTATCTTTACAATTCTGGCAATTCACGGAACGCCCCACACCATGCCCTCACTCTGCTCCACTCCACCTGATATCCAGGCCCGGCACACCGACTGTTTAGAACTCCACACCCCACACTTGCTCTAGTGCTAAGATTGAGGGCAATATCGGGCCCTTTGTGTTGGTAAAATGTGCTATACAAATAAGTTTGTTTGGATTGGATATCCATAAAAACAAGGAGGTGACGGACTCCTGACTGAAAAGTTACACAGTGCACCTTTAATGAAGTTAATTTTCTAAGGTTTAATCCAGGCTTAGTTTGTAAATGAGTTACTGAAACACTTTTGGACTGGTGTCATGATTTGGGTGAATCGGGTCAAAACTCTTCCATTGGGACCATTGTAATGTCTTGTCTTCATGAATCTCATTTTATTGCAAGACACTCCACCCACATTGCCTAATGTGAATGTAATGTGTGCGTGAGTGTTGGTGGTTTCCAGAAGGGCAGATGGCGCAGGTTGGCAGTCTCGATTCTGTCACTCTGCCTCCAAATAAGTAGTCAGACTGGCACCACCAGTGCCTCGACCCAATTTAAATTTCTTTCCAGCGACTAGGTCAGGAATCGGAATACACTAGACGATTTGCAAGAATCCTGGAAGTGCGAGTTGGGGCACCAGCCAATCAGCGAAGAGCCATACATTCGCTGTTGGCAACGATTTCCAAGATCGAGGATTTAAAGCCAGAACATAGAGAATGTTTGGTGAATTTTATCAAGGGGAAAGATGTTATTGTCCTTCTTCCTATGGATTTGGGAAAAGCTCAATATACCAGTTAGCCCTGTTAGCGGTGCATTACATACATCACAACCAAATAGAAGCGATTGGTTCAATGAAAAAAAGTACCTGCCTACCGTCGAGCGAATGAACTCTAATGCTGCGAGGTCAGACGGTTTCTACAAAGTGAAAGCGGCTGATGAATCAGGCTAACAAAAAAGTAAATACTGTAAAGTAAGTGTTTTAAATTATCCTTGTACACCAGTGTAC